CGCACGTTTATTACAATTAAAATATTATTTTACCAACCTCGTAAATGTTTATCACAATCGGTAATCTTATATATTAATCGTCCTAATTATAAACGCATTAAGGTGAGCTCACCGATATCCGCCGGATAAAAGGGCTGAGTCTAATGTTTCTAATGGTAACATTAAAACATTATATTTCAACTGTTCGCGCATGCGAATTGATATGTAATAAAGTATAACTCGAACATAATTATTTTTAACACTACGTAGAAAAAGTTATACCGTTATATAGTAATGACCTATTTAAATCACATTTCAGATATGTTATGATTTTTTTATAACTAAGCCTGTTCTTTTTAGCTGAACTTCTTGTATAATATTTTTCTTTATATATTAAAAAAAAGAGGAAAAAACTGTACAAGAAGTTCAATTAAAAAGAACAAGTCTAATATTTGTATTAATTTCATTTTCAATCTAATTTCTTCTTTGTAATTAGAATAAATCGATCTACATTTAATTTTGTTTTACAGTTAATAAAACCCTCATTATTGAGATCAAAGCCTGACATAAGACAATATCAGCAGAAAAACAATTTTTCATAGCAATTTGGAAAATGGCCACACCAGATTCATATCGGTATGTCATTAAAATTTTTAATACATTATTTTTTAATTCATAAATTATATTACGTTTCTTATGCTTAATACTTTTACTTATATATAGATCTATTTGCGAGAAGTTTAATGTAGGAAGAGCCACTGCGTTAAGAGCTATAAGAAGAATAACAAAAGCAATTGTAAAATTAGCTCTTTCTTTTATTGTATAGCCAGAAGGAGATACAGCAAAAGAGATAATGACAGGATTTACTGCAATTAGTGCTTTTCCTAAAGTAATAGGAACAATTGATGGAATACACATCAATATAAAAGCACCACACATTAATGGTGAATCATATGTTAATAGGAAAAAACATCAATTAAGTATATATTTACAGGTAATTTATTATCATAATCAAATTTGTAAATATATTTTATATTGTATATATAATTATACTTCCTTGTATATTATTAATAGGCTATTTGCGATCATCAAGGACGATTTACTCACTGTCTTGCTGGACATGTTGGCTCTGTGCATAACCAACGTGTATTTCGGTTATCTGAAGTTCATGATTATTTACAAGATCCAGCTAAATTTCCTGAAGATAGTCATTTATTGGGCGATGCAGCTTACACTATTCATGAACACTTAATGGTACCATTCCGTGATAATGGACATTTAACTGATAGACAAAAAAATTGCAATTTTTGTCACGCATCCGCTAGAATGGCAATTGAACACGCATTCGGATTATTAAAAGGAAGATTTCGAAGTTTATTAACAGTTCTTGAAATAGACCGTGTTGATCTTATTCCAGAATTTATTATGGCATGCTGTGTTTTGCATAACATTTGCTTTTTAAAAAATGATGACTTTTCAATTACAGAATCAAATATTCTTGAAACTAACAGTAATGAACAATTATTTATAAATGAAAGAAGGTATAACGATGCAGCTCAAATAAAACGAAACACTATTTGCAATAACTTAATTATACGATATGCATGAACGATATATTAAATACATTTATTTAATATAGAAAATACAAATTATTATTTATTATTATTTTGAATATACAACATACTTTTATAGAATAGAATAGAATTTATTATTTCAGCATTTTACATATGCCAAGAAGGGACTTGGTTTACAAAAGTTCTTAGCCACATTTATCCATCCATACCTTAACCTATACCTTAGCCTAGTCTGTCTCTTTTCGACCCTTACGTCTATCCTACAAACAAATACTGCTCCTCTCTTAACTTAGCCTTACACCTAATTACAATTATAAATACAAAGGTACACTTAACCGTTACATTTACATCACAGACTTTTACATCACAGTCTTTTTACAGCCTT